CTTACAGCCAAAACAAAGGCGCGTTAGAGGTTAAAGTTCTGTTTTGCCATTATTCCAAAAGCCTTTCTGATTTCACAGATTTTAAACATAACATACTAATTTAATAATGGCAACTCTATAATCAGTAGCTCCAAACAACTCAGAAAAAATTCTTAACCTCTATTTACATAAAGTCTTGACAGACTATCCTTTCAAGAATGTGAAACTTTCAAAGTCAATAATTAAGAACTTTGAGTCTTTCTCTTCCATTTATCAAATACTATACATCACCCTAGATGCTCTACAAATATTATCTTCTTTATTCTATATCATGGAGCTATAAGTGGATGTCTTTAAAGTTTCTCAAGTAAACCACTGGTGATCAGGGCAGTATAAATGCCTGGCTTAAGATCATGTAATCATTAGAGTAGAGTATTGGTAACTGGTCTATGTAACTCAGGATAAATGCAACTAAACTACAAGAAAATAATCACCTGATGCTTAAAGTTTTGTACAGCCTTTTAAAAAGGCTCACCCAATGCTTTATATTCAAATGGTTAGTTCAAATAAAATTAATTTCAAATACTACAATTAATTAAGCATTGTGAATAACAGAATGGGTACAATCAAATTCGGTCTTGTGTTTCCAATATAAACTTTTTTCACACTAATAATTTTCATCTGATTTCAATAGGAATTACAGATTTTTGAAGCTTCATAACATCTTAAAGTTGTGTGAAGTTCAAATTGTGCTCCAAATAACCCAGGGGTTTAGGCTCAGGAGAGGCTGTAAGAATCAGAGGCTGGGGCCAAGTAAACAGGTTTCTGGGCATCCCCACAATGCTTATATGGTAATAAAAACTAGTGAAAAAAAAGAACAAATTCCTTGAAAATTAGGGTATCTAGAAAAACATATTATAGATGAAGAAATTGAGGCACTTTTAAAAGTCAGTTGTGTGACTTGCCCAAGGTTACACAGCAAGTTACAAATATTGACTAATTTCTCATCAACCCCATGAGGAATGTACAATAATTATTATCCCCATTTACAGAAAAGGAAACTCAAATATACACAGATATAAATTTAGTAACTTCCCTGAAGTCACATAGCTAGTAAATGGCAGAGCCAGGATTGGAATCCAGAACTAAACGTGTCTCCCTATCTGGTTCAATCTTAACATTATAAACCTGTTAT